AACACAATAGTCATACGTTAGCATTTTATTCCTGTTTGTGTGCATAAAATATTCCCGTTTGTATAACGTTGGAGAATAATGTAAAATGTAAATATTACCGATTTGTTAATTCACTCGATAAGGAAAAAAAAACTCATATTTGTGCTCGTAGGTATTAGCATATTGAAAAGTAAAGACTTGTTTTACGCTGCATAATATAAGCCTACTGCTGATTATAATATGTAATTATATTTAAACATAATAGCGAATCTAGGAGCTTCCATTCTCTAATGAGTGTTAAATAGAATAATTAACTTCTACACCTTGTTTTTTGGTTCACATTTGTAATAAAAAAAACTTTAGTTGTTATAATTATCTTATTATATTAAACTTATTCTCATAAATTAATTGAATTGAATTGAATTGAATTGATAACTATAAGTATACTTCCCATCCCCTACATCCAATCCCATATTATTGATTTTATTCTGTAATTTGCTTCTAGTTTTGTGTAAGTAGGCCATTTCCCTATAATTCTTAATTCTGCAGAATTATTATAATTTATTATATCTTATAAGCTTCTTTACTAACTATAGACAATTTGGTATGCCTACTCAGGGACTGTTCCCTCCATCGTAGTTTCTAGAATTTTAGTAAAGTATTATATCGTATAGTTTTCTCTAGATATAGGATATCTCAGAGTCTTAAAACACTCTCACTTCCCTCATTTCTTGTAAAGCAAACTGTGTCTGCTTGCCTAGACTAATCAAATTTCACATCAAAATAAAATTTTAAGGAGGGTGCACATATAATTTGTTAAGTGCGTACGTTTTGTTTAGCTAATCAAATGAACAAAATCATTTTATTTGTAAATTCAGTTTCAGTTAATTGTAATATAAACGAAGTTTATGGCTGAAACATAGCGAATCTTTCGCACTTAGAGTGCACGCTTTAGTGTTCATGAGTTCTTTAAAGCCAACATTAACTACAGTAATCTGCGTGTTCTAGAACATCGACCATTACAAAATTTTAGCAAGTTATACATAACGAGTCTTTAAACAACGTAACCTCGTATCTGACGACCAGTTTCTACTTGTATTTACTTGTATTTTTTTTATTATTTAAATATGAAATCGCTGCTAAAACCCTCTGGTTGTCTTCATGGTATGGTACTGTTTACACTTTAACTGATTTACCCTTCGGGCCGAGAAAGCTTCACTGTAGCCTAAACTTTACGCTATTTTTCGCTGAGTATTGATACAAATCCCCTCTGCAAAGTTTCGCTATGGTCCATGGTAACTGGAAAATTCTTAGCCTGGAACATGCGCTGTATTTTCAAAATCACCAAAGCAAGGGGACTAGAAAATACCTTAATGTTACCAAGTTCTAGTAACTTAAAAATATATTCTTATCTAGCAGCAGATACGAGGGTCACTCAGAAAGTTTTGCCCTACAAACATTTTCAGCATAAAATTATAGACAACCGCTGAAATTAGGTTTACAAATGAGTTCCTTATTTACAAACACCATTTCTCTACGTAGTTAAAATTAGGAGACTCAACATTTCAGCTGTTCTATATAATTTTTGCCGACGAGAAATGTGGACCGAATTTTTTTTAGTGGTATAATTATTTCTATTCCCCTTAATTATTTACATACAATTAATTAGCATGTACTCAGAAATGCCATCTTCAAAATCAAATAAGAAATAACAGTTTAAGAAAATAATAATTTCTTCACCGTTCAACGTACTGTTTTATTTATGAAATAATGTCTACTCTTTGTAGTACAATATGGCTGCCTTGTGACAACATATGAGACTTCCAAATGTTATTGATGCAAGGAGACGGTCTCCAGATATGGAGGGTTATTGCGAATGTATTGAATAAGCAGTCACGGACAACCGACAAGGGATGGTCCATCATCTTGGTAGTTGGGCGGAAGGTTAAAACCTCCTCACCTTAAAAAGAACACGATGTAAATTATTACATAGAAAAAATATATACAGTCATAAGTTTTCATATTATTTTGAATGGGTGTGAGACGATCTCTCACGAAGTAAGAATACAGTTGGGAGTGTCTGAGAAAATTCTTAACGAGGAGACACAATTTTTGCTCTTTGCCATATCAATATGATGAAAGCAAAAAGTGTGGGATGGATAAGTCACGCAGGGTGCATTGGAAGAACACAGTTGCATTAATTGTCTGAAAGGAAGAAAGAGACCACTTGGAAGACCTAGGTGTAGGTGGGAGGACAATATTAAGATGAAACTTACGGGAGTGGGGATGGAGGTTTAACATGGATACATCTGGCTCAAGATAGGGGCTGATGACTGGCACTTGTGAACACAGGAATTAACTTTCGGGTTCTATAAAGGGCGGATAATTTCGTTACTAGCCAAACGTACTATTATCTTCTCAAGGTTTCTCTCTGGAATTATTTTGTTAGATTTCACTTTATTCCTAGAGGACAACTTTTGTTGTATTTGATCTTTATTCACATGTTTTGTGCATATATTAAAAGTTATATAATTCGACTTTATAACAATAGGTTGTTGAAGTATTTATAGTGCACGATTCATCAATTTGGTTTATGATTTAACAATAATCCTTACACTGGGTGCAGATAATACATGTTAAGGGATAGGCGACACACGTCAAAATCCTTGTAAAGCCCCCGTCTTTCTGAGCCTTACAAATAGATCTGCAAAATATTTATCACGAAGAATAGTGTTAGTATTACAGTAAAATTCCTTCAAGAATTTCCTGCATATGTTTCCATTATTTCTATTTCCACTCCTTTTCTTTGAAAATCTGTTGCAGTTTTGAGGCTTAATAATTAAATGCGGAGTAATAAACGTGTATATATGTCTGTATGTGTGTGCATATATGAATGTACTTACGTACTTATATGTATATATATATATATATATACATACATACATACATACATACATACATACATACATACATACAAACAGGCTAAATTTTTATGACTGTTTGTTTGTTACGCATGACTGACAAAGTTTTCGGTACTGACGCTAGGTCTCCGACTCCGATTCCGACCCCGGCTCCTTCATGAAAGCTCAATATACGAGGCGCGTCCACAAAGTAAGTTTCCCACTCGTCCCACAGCTAGCAAACCTTATATTG